GAATGTGAATTTGTATTGCTCTAATGACTAAAACGCCTAGTGGGATGATGATGATGATGATGCTGTCCTTCATTACGGTAGTTGCTGCTGATCATGTCCCTATGCCTTGTGGGTGCAACTTATTTTGTACAATGAAACGTCTCTTGGTGGTGTGTCAGAGACGTTGGCGATGACTTCTAGGTATATCCATTTCCGTCGTTCCCCTCTCTTGAGATGGGGAAGTGTTGGGCAGCCAGCCCATACGCATGCAGATGCAATTGTTTCTCCTCACCTTCGTTTCTGGGTTGTCCGTCTTGGACATGCAGTTTGCTTGATGCACTTCTTTTTTCCCCTTTTCCTCTTCTTGTTGAGAGACGATACGTCTTCCTTGTTGAGGGGAAACGCGTCTCTATGACTCGGCCTCGTCCACCTCCTCGCTGCTCTTCTTGCCCTTCTTGCTCTTCTTGTGCTTCTTGTTCCTCTTCTTGTCCTTTCTCCCTTCGTCCTTGTTGCACTTTGTGCTCTTGACGGCATGCGTGACGCCGCCGTCGGCAGAAGCCTCGATGACGAGAGCGGTCAGCTCCCCGCCGTTGACGCAGCCCGAGTCGAGACCGAACGTAAACTTGTCAATCTGCAGACCGCGCTTCGAGTCGTGGCCGTAGGCGACGGCGGTGCGGGGTTCCTTCTCAGGCAGCGCCTTTTGGTGCGCGTTCCACGCTTTCGGCCAGCTGCTGGAGCCGTCGCGGCGGTCGGTGGGGATGGCGATCTTGCGGTCGTGGGGCTTGCGGCGGCGCTCGTGCTCGCGCTGGATCATGGTCTCGGTGACGCCGGGGGCGGCGGTGTGGGTCCTGCGGTAGTCTTCGAGGGCGCGGTGGGCTTCTTGCCGGCGGAGCTCCTCGCGCGGGTAGACGAGGCCGCGCATGTTCATGAGGGCCCAGGGGTCTTGGTGTTTGAGGGAGAGGCCTGGGACGAGGCCTGCGTGGACGACGACGAGGTTGCCGCCGATGGATTCCACGGCGCCGACGTCGAGGATTACGGGGAGGGTGGAGAGCCACTTCAGTTGCTTGCGGGTGAGGGAGCGGGCGGTGGCGCGTTCTTTGGAGTCGCCGTGGGGGAAGATTGAGGGTTCGAGGTCGTCTTGTTCGGTCTCTTCTAGGGAGGCTTCGTCTTCGTCTTCGTCCTCGCCGTCTTCTCCTTGGCCTTCGGCCTCGGGTGAGACGTTGTCGGTGGGAGGTTCTTCAGGCTTCTTGTCCTCCTCCTTGTTCTCCTCGGCCTTGGCTTGTCCTGCCTCCTCCTCTCGCTTGTTGACGGGATTACCGTGAGCGTCCGATTCGGTAACATAGGTCGTCTTCATGTTCTGATGCGCCAACAGCACGCGGTCCTCGTGGTTTCCGCGTACGGCGGAGGCGCCGAGGCGCATGGCCAGATCGAGAACACCGCGGGAGTCGGGGCCCTTGTTGATCATGTCGCCAGCAAAGACGAGGTGGTCGCCGCGGGACTTGTCAAAGCGCAGCTCCTCAAGCAGTCTGTCGAGTGAGACGCGCATGCCGTGGACATCGCCGACGACGATGAGCCTGCGGCTCGGGTTCTCGCGGGAGGGAAGATGACGCTCCGGGAGTGTGGCGATGTGGACGGAGAGGTCGGTGAAGCCTGGGCGAGCGGTCTCGCCGTAGGACATGGGCGCATCGGCTGGTGAGGGCTCGGATGCTGTCTTCGCGGCGGGCCGGCGACGGATGGCTGATGTGAGGTCTAGGGAGGCGAGGCGGGCTGCCGCGAGGAAGATTGTGGTGAGGATGAAGAAGGCGGCGACGCAGACCACACCACGCCGCGGGCGGGTTGGGGCTGGGAACGACATGGTGGTGACCTTCTTTCTCTGCGGATTCTGGTGTGTGCGTAGGTCTTGTTCCCTTTTTTGCCGTCAAGGTTTCCCGCTGCGCAATGTGTTGAGACGAGACGAACCAGCCTGCGTTTGATTTGCTGAACCCACGATGAGGTCTGAACCACCACTTATATGGGATTCTTGTCGTCTTTCGGAAATAGGGCGTCGAAGCGGGTTACCCTGGACCTTTGAAGATGAAGACCTCGTGGGTTTTGTATCCGTAATGGTGGCGGTTGGCGCCTTTCTGTACCCGTGCCGCGGTTATCGACCCAAGCTTAAACCGCCGCAAGCTTTCGTTTCGAGATTGGGTTTACGCGTGCGGGATGTGGCGCCGCTGGAATGGACGAATTGGAGACGGGACGAGACGGAATCGTTATTTTTGACGTATGCGGATGGTTTGACAGCGTCGAAGGTTTTTCCCAAGGTCGAAAAGTATGGGATTCTGGGGGGTAAGGGAGGCCGCGTGTACGGAAATAGGTTGTCGCTCTCTCTTTTTTTTCGAGTCGTTCTTATCGCATTGATGGAAAGGGGCCCGGCGCAGTCGTCGTCGTCGTCGTCGTCCGACAGGGGTGGCTGCGCATGCGTGGATCTTCAAGGAGAATTAGGGTCGTCGGAGATGTATTGCCTCCAAAGTCTTGTATCCTGGGTATCCGTAAGGGAAAAGATAGGAAAAAAGAGAATAGGAAGAAACAAACAATGAAGAAACCCCAACCAAAAGGAACAGGGTGACAAGGACACGAGGGAAAGAAAATACCAAGACGTCTGGGCGGAAACGAGGGGAGGAGGGTGGAAGGATGAATGGAGGATGCCGTGCAGATTTCGCCAAGAGAATATGGAAGAGAAATCCGAACACTGGTGACTGACCAGGCTTGCTAGGACCGGAGTTAGGCAGGCAGACTCACCTCAGGTCCTTGGGTCCTTCAAGGCTTAGGGGCCAAGATGGGCTGTTTGCGTCGCCAAGTCGAGTATTTTGGGTGCAGATTCGGTGTAATCCGCTGCCAATTTGGTGCAATTTGCCTGTCGACTTCTGGGAAAGTCGGCACGCGACGTGGCATGCGACCCCTGCAACCCCTGCAAGTTCCCGCTGGGCGCTTTCCCCGTCCCGTCAGCAGCGTCAGCACCCTGCACCTTGCTGATCTACACCCAAATTAACCCAACTCTCTCTTAAAACTGCGTATCCGTACTTACCTACATAGTATATACTGCCTGCACAACTGCACAGAAGCCATCACTGCTGCAGTCAGTCAGTCAGTCTGCAGTTGCCCAGTCCGTGGGCGAAGGATCAAAGTGGGCGGACTCGCTCCCGCTGTAATTGGCTCGGATTCGTAGGAAAAGACGACGGCGGGGCGGGGATGGGGCAGGTGGGCGGAAGCTCAGAATACTTCGTACATTGTACTTCAAGTTCCACGTTGCTCAAGGTCAATTCCTACCCTGGTGCCAACACTCTTCTCAACCTGGAGTTGCTTCTTCTCTACGGATAGACTCGAGGCTACTGTTTGGGAGGAATCCCCAGCTGATCTACAATCGCTACTGCTGACGATCGGCAGGGCTGAGTCTCCAGCCTTGAGTAACCTATTATCATCTACTGAGACACAGACCCTTCGCGCAACATTCTTCTCATTCTGCGCCCGAGTCCCACTCGACGGGACTGCCCGTATCACACATACAGCCATCCCCCACGGAACACCTACTTATTGCTCCAGGCACTGCCATTCTGTATCTTTTCTCAAGGCTCCCGGCGGCGCTCTAACACCAAGGCGCCAAGGTAGTACGTCACTGCGGCACAGCATCCCATCTCATAAGCTCCTCAACCAAACCGAATAACCAACCTCTCCACCCCTTGTCTGGTGCGATAGTTGCGGCCTCGGCGTACACCCTCTTTGGAAGGTCGACTTGCCGACTTATCCAGAAGACTTGGAGCTAGCTTGGTTGGCCTCCAATATGTCTTAGAAGAACGTTAAGAAAGAAGAAAGTTCGAACTGGGGGCGGCTTGATAGAGTTGAGCCCAGTTTAGCAGAAAGTCTGCCGTGCAGGGCTAGCAACGGCAGCTAAACTCCCTACGTTTAAGCTCATCCGGCAAATAATGTAGTTGCCAAACTTTCCACATCTTTGGAAAGCAACCGGTGATGCGCCGGCTTACTCTTTAGTTTAGAGAACTTGGAGAGCACTTGCCAACTCACTCTAGCCTTTGTTGGCTGCATCTGATGCGTAGGGGAGGCGTTCAAAAGTCTAGAACAAGTTTCTTCCGCGGCCGCAACGACTATACGACGCCATTGTCAGAGTTTAGTGGTGCTGAGTTGTCGGCCACAAAGCGCCACTTTCGTCACAGTCACAGGGTCAACATTAGCCAGGCCTGTCCACAAATGAGTGCGATTGGAGAAAAGAAACCCCCAGAGCGATTCCCCGTTGAGAGAAGACGTCAAAAATATGCTATTGCTCTAATTGGCAAAAGAATTTGACCAGCATGGGGGTCGAACCCACAATCTCCTGATTCCACGGTCTGTCGTAGTCAGACGCCTTGCCATTGGGCCAACCGGCCAGACAATTGAAAACATCTCAGATGTCCGTCTCGGAATCGGGAGCCGGAATGCGGCATAACTAGTCCGCGGGCCCTCCCGCCGCGTGAAGTTGTCGGCTTTGTGAGTCTCCTCCGGTCGAGTGCAAATCGACCTCGAAGTTAAGGTCAGGTTTTTCGGTTCCTGAACCTAAGCTTGTAGATGCGAAAGAGGTTGGTCGCTTCCTTTGACCAAACAAAACGGAAGATTGTGAACTTCGAAGGCGGCATAAACAATGCTTCTGGATATACAGCTATGTCTTCGAGAGGAGCTGTTTCAACAACGCAGTTAGTCTTTGACAACCCTTTATTGTTCCTTGTTAGCTAGCAAAGTCTTGGAATACGGTAATCTACAACACACTCTGTCTTGAGTCCAAGAGAATCTTATGGCTTCCTCAGGTCTACCTAGAGCTACCTGCCTGGGACCTCCTACTCATTGCCAATACCTTAAAAGAACCCGGTCTGGTCTAGAGGTCGTTCACCACGCAGACCTCTTGTGAGGAAAATAACACGGAACTTCGAACTTGGTTCAATTGATTTCTGACAGATGAGATATAGCCACAAATGCTTCATCGTTTTATAATCACCATGAAGCCGCTTCTGGCAACCCTCCGACAATCGCTCTCAGTAGGCACTTATATACAGAAGTCTGACACAAACACAAGGATGAAGACACTCACAATAGCAGTAATCGGCCCCAGAGGCTGTGGTAAGACAACATTTATCCGATCCCTATTCGAAAACGCGGGCGACTACGTAGCCGCCCAAGATGACGACATCAGCATACACACAGCCAACCTCGATGATCAGGACCTTCAAATGCATCTCATTGACACACCCTACCTCTCTCCCGAAAAGCGGCGTCTCCCAGACATGGAGACACTCAACTACATCAAGACCCGGCTCAAGTCCATGGACACACAGATAGACGGCGTCATCTACCTCCAGCGCATCATGGATCTGAGCAACGCTAACTACGCAGTTCGTAACCTGGACGCTTTTTTAAACGCCTTCAAGTCCCGTGGATTCCGGCACGTCGTCGTCGCTGCCACAAACTGGGATCGTGTTACGAGTGAGGCTGACAGCTCGGCGCTGGAGGGGTACTTCCACGATCATCTGGACCGCGAATCTTTGGTCACTTCACTGGGAGTACGGATCCAGCGAGCTAGGTTGAGCGACTCGTCGGACGCGAGTTGGGATCTTTTGGAAAGTATGAGGTATGTCGAGACGCCGGAGCCGTCTCCGCCGCCTTCACCACCGCCACCTACCCCGGCTTCACCATTACCTTCGTCTCCCGCCCCCGACGCCTCTTGGGTTCCTGGTGGTCACGATTGCGAAGGGCCGTCGTCTGCTACAACTAAAGACATCCGTAAGGATATGAAGTCGAGAAAGGGGTTGTTTTTGTACTGAAGGGAGATCCAGCAGCAGAACACCTCCAGCAAATCCTGACCGAGCTCGTGTCGGATGGCGAGGAAATTGGCGTAGGTCACCGAGTTGAAGGCGAGTTGCCTTGTGGTGACGAGCAGGTGGCGACAAAATCTGACTAGGTTGCACCGAGGCTCCGTTCGAGAGGTCTGTTGTTCAGGCGTCCCAAGATGCATCGTAATGTAAGTTACTCAAGTGGTCGTTAGTCAATGCTGCGGGACAGTATCATGCAAGATGAATTGTAAGCTTTGTGGTAGCTATAGGTGATACCTTGAGGCGTAAAAGATGTATCTCTCAAAGGTAGGTAGTCGCAGAAAAGCGACCATCGTGTAGCACTTTTGCACACGTTTTCTTACGATTATAGTCGTAAAAGGCGGCACTGGTATTATCATGTACTAGGCATCTAGTGGTACGCGGTCGATGAAGAGTCTTTAGACGAGCTTTGGGTGTGCGAAATTCGAGTTGCACAATATTCATAATGTCCTAACGCACCTTAACCATTGTACCAAAGAGGCGGCTGAGATCCTGGAGAGTTCCAACTGCCGACATTACTCAAGTCGCCCATAGTGTGTTTGTATGCAGTTTGTCGATGTTGGAACAACGATAGGCCCAATCAAGCTTGCCAAGGGCGTTTATCCTCCCAGAGTCTCTTATCCTTTAAGTACGTCACATAGTCCTTCATGTAACAAGACAAGATCCAGTCCTGGTTGTGTATTGCGGTGTGTGGCATAGTCCACCAAACAGTACCTACTCTTCGGTCGCTGACGTGATGTAGTATCTCTATTATATAGATTGTGAGACAAGATAGGCTGATGACTGATGAGGATACCTTGTGAGGCTCTTGTCTAGAATGAAACATGACTACAGAACACACGATGATGGCTCACCGCTCGCATATTTCGGATTGGCCAACGCCCGGCCAAGCCACAGCCGAGTCTGACATGCAACACACGGTAAACCGTTGACGAGATGCAGCGGCTAGATGAATCTCACCCTTCATCACGGTCTCACTAGCGCCCCGATACAACGTGGTTAGGATTTTGCTTGCCGTTCTGCAGGAGCTGAAAGATAACCGAGATGCAGTGGGATGCTTGATCCTCGCGAAAAGGATTTCTCGATTGGCAACATCATTGTCTGACATCTCGCAACCAACGAGAGTTCATCTCGGGCAACTGCCCTTTAGAGACGACGCCTCACGACGCCCCGTTGCAACCTCGTTGTCTCAACCCCTGTCAATTCCGTGCCGCTTCGGCAGACTTGTTTGCTGCACAAACATCGTCCACTCCAGGCTTCCTTCGACGATCGCGACACTTTATAAACTCACGATGCCTCGGCCTCCAAATCATGATTCTGTTCAGGTAAGACCGTAGCCCCGGAGCTTCAAATCCTAAGAGTCTCAGTCTCGTCACTTGAAAAACTATGTTGCCGCACATCGCAAGATATCTCTTCTTTGGGATCGCGTCCCACGAATCCCTCATCCCAGCCCGCGACTCCTCCTACACACCAACGTGCAAATCCTACCCGGGCACCGCTGACTGGCCTTCCACAGCAGAATGGGCCCGGCTCGGCGAGTCCCTCGGAGGCGGGCGACTTCTCCGCCCGTCTCCTCCGGGAGCTGTCTGCCATCCCGGACAGGACGCCTACAACGAGACCGCCTGCGCCGACGTCGAGGCCCGGTGGAATTCGTACGAGCTCCACGTTGGCGACCCCGTCTCCGTCGTCTGGAGCAACTTCGCTAATGACTCCTGCCTTCCTGACCCGGCTTATCTGTGCAGCGGTGACGGATACCCTGCGTACGTCGTGAATGCTACCACGCCGGAGCATGTCAAGATTGGTATCGATTTTGGTATGTTGCGTTTTGACATCTACTTCCGTCCCGTGTGTGCGCTTGGTCTGTGATTGTTGACTGGGGTCATAGCGAGGAAGAACAATGTGAGGCTCATTGTGAAAAGCACTGGGCATGATTACCTAGGTAGATCGATTGCCCCTGGCTCGCTCTCTATCTGGGTGCACCAATTGACGGGCATCGAGTATCATGCGGATGAGTTCAAGCTCGCAGGGAGCGATATCACTATACCAGGAAGTGCAGTAACTGCCGGAGGCGGCACCGAGATGTATGACCTCTACAAAGCCACTGCCGAACACGGTCAAGCCATTGTCGGCGGTACCGCTAAGACGGTGAGCGTCGGGGGGTATGCTACCGGAGGCGGCCACTCGCTGCTCGCGCCGCGTTTCGGTCTGGCGGCGGATAATGTCTTGCAGATGGAAGTCGTCACGCCCCTCGGCGAGATCTTGACTCTCAACGAGGCTCAGAACGCTGACCTGTTTTGGGCTATGCGCGGTGTAAATATCCCTCATTTTTGAGACCTTACCTTGAGTACTGACTTACATAGGGAGGAGGATCAACGTTTGGGGTTCTCACCTCAATCACCTTCGCAACACACCCGTCCCCCCCGATCACCCACACGGCATGGGCGATGCTCACCAAGCTCAGGTCACCCATCATTCCAGACCTGGCCGCCTACTTCCTCTCAAACGTCCCTTCCCTCGAGAAGGCGGGCCTCGCAGGCTACGCCCTGATCAATTCGCACATGCCGAACCCTGTCAGCTCCCCGGGCCTCCCGCCGAACGCGGCGGGCGTCATTGGCATATCCCTGATGCAGGATGACACGGACCGGGAAGAAGTTGACAGGATCTGGACGTCAATCAACCAGACCATCATGGAGCGCTGGCCCAATGTCACCTTTGCCAAGATTACCACCGAGTATCCGTCCTGGCTTGACTTTTATGATAAGAATTATGACATGAACAAGGGCGGTATCAACAAACTACTGGCTTCCCGTTTGCTGGATGAGGAGGCTTTGACGGAGGATTTGGAGGTTTTGGCTGGTGCAGTGAAGACGGCGACTGATAATGTGGGCGGCATGTATGCGTTTTTGGTATCCGGGAAGGGTGTGCACAACGCGAAGCCTAGGGGCGGAGGTGATGCGGTTCACCCGGCATGGAGGACTGCCTACATCCACGCGAGTAAGTCATATTCATTCGTCTAAGAGTAGTTCCTTGAGCTGACTCCTATTTCTCACAGTCACTGCCGTTGGATGGACTTCGTTCAATGAGACGTCCAAGAGTGAAGCCGAGAAGAGCATTTACGATTCGGTTGAAGGCTTCCGACAGTTAACGCCTGGTGGAGGATCCTACTTGAATGAGGTAAGCCAAGCATAACGTTCGAAACGAGTACGTTTGGGATTCTCATTAATGTGTCACAGGGTCTGTCATATGAGGAAGACTGGCAACATACGTTTTGGGGCACCAACTATGAGCGCCTTCTCAAGATCAAGAAGACCGTCGATCCAGACGACGTTTTCTGGTGCCAGCCCTGTGTCGGGAACGAGGGATGGAAGCAGAGGAGTGACGGGCAGCTTTGCAGAGTCTAGGCTGGTACACTGAGAGGCTGTGTTTGTCGAAACATTGTGGCTTCTGGGCTAGAAGTGAGACTGGATTATGTCACTCAAAGTAAACCATTCAATGGGTGTTGTGGAATGGCAATGAGATCACATTATAATTCAGATTAAAGTCTACTTGGACTCTAAAGTCGTGCCTCACGACTTTCTAGTCGGGTTCATAGCCTTCACCCAAGGCTTCCAGATATCCTCAATGGTCTCGGGAGAGTTCCAACCGTTCCACTCATAGTTGGTCAAACCCCAAGTATCGGGCACACCTTGCGCGCCGGAGCGCACACGGTAGCTACCGGCAAGACCCCAGACCATCCAGCTGACGTTGTGCTTGACGGTGTACTCCCTCAGACACACCTGAAGGGTATCGTTGCGAAGCGTATCGTCCTGGCCGTTGCCAAATTCCGAGAAGATGACAGGCGTCAACCGGCTCGCCTTGGGGCAGTCGTTCGTAACGTTGCAAGCCGCAGGCTTGTCAATACCCAACGCGTTGAAGCCGTTGCGGTAGAGACCCGCCTCGATGATGGGGCACGATCCCGTGTCGACATCCTCGCTCATCTTGTACAGGTGCAGCTCCCAGACGAGCTTGTCCGCCCAGGCGTGGCTGTCGAGATCAAACACCTTTGGCTCGCGGCGGGCGGCGTCGCGGATGGCGGTGCACTTGTAGCACGGCGCCGTGAGGTAGTTCTTGCCCGAGGTGAGGGCAGACAGGTCCTGGCCGTACTGCATGCCGCCCCAGAGGATGAGGACGTCCGGGTTGGCCTCGTGGATGGCGTCGGCGCCGGCGGAGAAGTTGCCGACGAGGGTGTCCCAGTTGTAGTACAGGTTCGTCACGTTCCACGACTCGCGGACCTCGTTGCGGAGGGAGAGGGAGACGATGTTGGGGTGGGACTTTGCCCAGTTGGCGACGTAGGAGAGGCCGCGGCGCCAGTGGGTGGTGTTGAAGTTGACGTCGTCGAACCAGGCGTTGCCGTCCGTATGGGAGCAGCACCACTGGGCCTTGCCGACGTGCACGTCGGGGGAGATGAAGATGCCGCGCTCGTAGGCGGCCTCGACGATGGCGGACCAGATTTCGAAGCGGGTCGTCTCGCGGGTCCAGGTCGGGTTGTTGCGGATGATTTCGTTGGTGACCTTTGTGCCGTTGACGAAGCCGAGGGCCGTGATCATGGCAACTTCGAGGGGGACGTCCTCGCCGGCGCGGTCGTAGATTTGGTCGACCATCTCGATGGCGTAGCCCCTAAGAAGAGTGTAAGCTGGTGTGTGTCCAAGGTTTGCGATGCATTACACGCGTGCAAAAATTAAGTGCACTTACATGCGGATGTAGTTGAATCCGACACTCTCGACATCGTCGAGAATTTGGTCAACCGAGGCCCATTCCAGACCCTCAGGAACCATGGTCTCTCCTTCATTGTTTGTTAGTCAGGTGCTCTTGTATGCCTGCCCTAGATGTTGGACGTACCACTCATCGGCCAGTTGACACCAGCCCAAGTCACAACCTCACCGCGGGCATTGACGATATCACGTCCGCGAGTGCTGAAGGGAGCGTAGGGCCATGAGTTGCTAGTCTGGTTGCCGGCCTGTCTCGGGACGGCCTTGTGAGAGCCATAACGAGTCGAGGCGGGAGTCTTCATGTACTGCGCGCATGTCGACGACACAAGCGCCGCAAAGGCGATGGCAAGACCCTTCATTGCGGAAATAGAGACTCGCGTAAAGACCTACGTGAGAGACAAAGCTGCAATGAGGAAGAAGAAGGTCACACTGGCGAAGAAGAGGAGGACGGCCTCTCTCTTAAAAGGACGTAACATCCATCGGAGATGCTGGCTGGGGCCATCTATGGATGGCCCGGAAGTTGGAACCATTGGGCAATGGCTTTGTTCGGCTCCGCATCCCCCGCACCGTTATTTTCCTCGTGTTTAATGAGCATCGTCATTCGACCCCGATTCGATCGTGGACCAACATCGGCTTCCACGCTACGTTTGGGTTGGTGCTGGGCGAAGGGGCGGTGGGCTTTTTACCGAAGCTATTTCAACCAAGGTTTGGGGCCGGTCAAGGCCAGGATTCCCCCCATGGAAATATCTTCCCCGAGGTGCTCCAGGTGACGGCATTGGGCCGCTTGAACTGGTGGAGTCTTGGAGAAAGCTCTAGGCATGGGTTTACCCCGCATTCAATCATGGGGGATGGTGGAGATGGGGAAGAAGCAAACAACTTAGATTCTTAGAAAACCTTGAGAAGAGACTTTATTTTGTTTTTGCCGGCAAACGGTAGCCCGGGGGCGGGGGATGCTGTTCGGAGCCGGGCCGAAAATGGTGGTCTGCCGAGACTAGATGATGTCGTCTGATCTCACAATTTCTGGGATACTAACTCACGTCGTTTTGGTATTAACCGCACATTAATATACTCAAAGACTCAATGACTGGCAACTAACCTTGTCCACTGCATCACTCCGTCCTGAAGATTGATAACTCGAAGCCCAAGAACAGCTACAAGAAGCACGCTCCTTCTTTGGTTTCACTTAAAAGCAGGCTGGCGCAGGACCTTCATTCGAGGTGATAGTCAAGCCGGAAAAGACCATCTGCGTGATGTTGCACAGCATGAACACGCGACACTAAACCGCAAAGGGAAACCGAGTGTTATCAGTGTCGACGAGGCAGCCATACAAAGCTGTTCTTGGGCTCAAGGTGACCATCCAAGTATGTTTTCCAGCTAACGCAGTCAGATGCTGGTAGTATTAATAGACGAAATGTGCGGCGAGGTACAGGTGAAGTCCATGGCCTCAAAAAGGTGCAGAGATCAGGCTGAGAGTTAGTCAGCGTGCTGTACGACCTCACTTGGGTAGTGACTTGGAAAAGATGGATATAAGGCTGGCTACCATCCCAAGACGTACGGCTGCCATGCCATACGGCCTGCCACGCTCTCTCATAGCTGCGAAACCTGCGTCACGTCACGGACTGGCTTAGAGAGGAACCATGCCATCGAGTCGCAGCTCGTCTCGGAACGACGCGATCGGCAGTCTTGACGTACCGCAACTACCCCCCATTGATCTTTCGCCCAACTCCTTCTACCTGCTCTCTTCTCCTTCGCAAGAAACAATCGCGCCACCCAGCCGTGCACCCACTCCCGAGCCAGAGCATGAACCAAGCGACCCGGCGCCTCGTTATAGTCTGATAGCAAACACAGAGTCTACCGGAGACGCCGAGCAATCTTTGCGGGATGCGAAACCAAGACTTAGTGCCGGGCGAGCTCGCCTGCTTCCATCTGGAGAGTACCACTGGGCTCTTGAACTTTCAGCAATCATTCTGAGTATAACATCGTTTGCCGCCATCCTTATTCTTCTTCCCCTCTATCAGAATAAGCCGTTATCATCTTGGAAGTTCTCCATATCGTTCAACACCGTCATTTCCACTCTCGGAGCAACTTCTCGTGCATCACTGGCATTTGCTATCAGCGCTTGTATCAGTCAGGGAAAATGGAACTGGTTCCGAAGACGAGATGAGAATGTCATGGTGTTTGACCGTTTCGAAGAAGCAAGTCGGGGTCCTTGGGGAAGCGTTCGCCTGCTATGGTGGACCAAGTTAACGTATGAAAGCCCTAGTGCTTAATCTCACAGCGTATAAGCTAATCCACTCAGGCATTGGATCGCTCTCGGAGCCCTCTCCGCTGTCTTACTGGTTGGCTTTGAACCGTTCCTACAAGCCGTCATCACCTTTTCGGGAGAAAATGTCAACTACGCAGATTCAAAAATGGCAAACGGCATCGGAAAGACCGATAGACTCGACGCAGGAGGATTCAGAGTCTTTTCGTGGGGCAATTGGGAATACAAAATGCCCGCGCCTTGGGGGTCCTTTCGGCAAACAGCCATGAAATCTGAGTGTGACTTTGGCGCAATGGCTGCAGTATGGGAAGGCCTCTCCAACCTAAGTTCGACCGAAAGTACAAAGGCGACTTTTGAGTGTCCTACTGGTAATTGCACCTGGAGTCCTTTTGGATCAGTAGCTGTCTGCAGCGCCTGCAACGACATATCACCTGCAATCGAAAAGTCTCGAGGACGAGCATGGTGGAAGGACGACATCGTCACCCTGCCGGACCGATTATTCTATCCTGAAATGGAGGATAAACATAACTACACCAGATTCGAAATACCATATCTAAACCTGAGTATATCGACCTTCGATGGGAACAAGTCAAAGGGAGAGCGCATTGATGAGGCAAGAGCAAGTGCCGAACTGACCGCACAATCAACTTACAACCCGGGACAAACGTTGACTTTTAGTCATCTTCAATCCCTGATATATTCCTTTTCTATAATGTCAGCCAGCGAGGAATTCCGCCTACGGAAGCAAAAATGGGAAAACAGTGCCGTAACTGCAACAGAATGCGCTCTCTACTTCTGTACCAAGATTTATCGGACAACAGTCGAGCAAAATGTGCTACAGGAAAGAGTACTCGGCTCTCAAGCCAATCGAAATTTGGACTCTTTTTTGTCAGATGGATCGATACGTAACGATATGAACTTGACGAAGGCTTTCAACACTTATATGAACCATTCACTGTTTGTTGGATACTTCGATGCGCCCCGCACAGACCTACAGCTTACCATTCCCCGTGCTGAATACCTCGCCGCTACAGGCCTCATCTTGGACGACGAATTGAGGTTCAATATCTCACACAACACTATTGGGAGCCTCATCGAATGGTTAGCAGTAAGAATAACAGGCCGCAACATGTCTGCAACGAGAACAATGACGCTCGACGAGGCAAAATTGCTTGTGTACCCCCGACCATTAGTTGACCGGGCGGCCAGTTCACCAACGGAAATAATTAGTAGTCTCGCAGCTTCGCAGGACATACCTAGGACGTTTGAGATGGTCGCCGCCAGCCTAACAAAATGGATACGAAACCGTTCGTTTCAAACCAACTCACATCGCGGAGTAACGAAGGAATGGGTAATCAAGATTAGAGTGAATTGGGCATTCTTGTCACTCCCCATGGGCGCGCTGATAGGCGGGTGTATGTTCTGCTTATTGTCGATGTGGGAAACGAAAAGGCTAAGCCTACCAGCATGGAGGGGAAGCTCGCTGGCGACGCTAGCCCACGGCCTCGATGTGGAGTCTAGGTCGTTCTTGAGAGAAGCGAGTGATGGTACTCGTATCGCTTCCCAGGCGCGAACTTTGGAGGTCAAGTTTGTCGATTCTGACGGCGGACCGGAGCTGGTTCGCGGGACCAAGACTGGCAGGCCTGTCCGTGATGCTACTTGATACGCCTAGGTAGAGGCACTGTCAATGGCGTGAGGGCTCAAATTCCGCCGGTAGAAATTGTCAGGACAAACGGCGCTTTCCTTCCATCTCTTCTAACACATCTAAGTAACACAAGTTGCACAGGTCTAGACAGTTTACTTATGCATACAGTCGATGCTACACTTTCATTCAAAAAAGATACATTGTGTATTCGCTCCAAATCATGCGTCGCTTCTAAATCAAAAGCTTGCTCTCACTTAGTCAAGCTCTTCTCCGGGTTCTTCTCATACCGGTTACACCACTTCCGCCACTCCTTCGCGGCCTTGTGCATCACAACCCTCAGATCCTCCTTGACATCATTAATCTCCCACGCCTCATCTTCCCAGTTCTTCTGGCCGCGGGTCATGGCGGGGGACCAGCCAATCGCCTCTAGGCATTCCCTGATTTTAAGTGTCAGCTTCATGAAGGTCCTCAGACAGGTGAGTCGGGGACAAGAACTTACACTTCAGTGGGCGAAGAGGTGTATCTGGGAAACAGTCTCGAGTCGACACGGTGACACTCGGCTTCCAGATATCGCGTCAACACGTCAATGCGGTTCGCCGGCTTGAAGCTCAGCTGGAGCTTGTCCTCCTTGGCCAGCTCGGCCTCTGACTTTTCCGGGTCGATGGACTCGGGCTTCTTGGACGTGGAGGCGATGCGCTTGGTGACGGAGCGCGCCGTCTTGGAGCCCTTGATGGTGAAGTAAGCCCACACAGCTGTGATGAGTCAGTAAGTAAGCCGCAATAGGCATGGATGTTTAAGTGAACAAGACTTACCGTTGACTTCAAAAAGCCCAGAAACGGCAATCATCACCAAGTCAATGGCCAGCGAAACAGGAAGCAGCCCAGTCGCGATGATGGCGTCGCGCTGCGCCTTGGACTTTGTCCGCAGCATGGAGTTGACGAATTCCTCCCTCATCGCCTCGGGCGTCATGTTCATCGACGGCGAGTAGACAAAGACAATCTCCTCGACGCCAACCGTCTTTTTCGTCTCGTGAGACGTATGGGCTGGGTCGTCTTCCATGAGCTCGTCTTGCTCGTCCTTGTCGGGCTGCTGCTGCTGCGACTTGAAGTAATCCTCTTCTTCCCTATCGCCTTTCTCCTCGGCCAACTTCTCGTTCCTCGTCCTCTCATCGAGATCCTTGTCCTCGGAGGACTTCTTCTCCTCATCGTGAAGGAGATTCTCCGCGTCGTCGTCCTTGACATCGGTGCTCTCACGCTTCTTCTCGTCAAGGCTCTTCTTTGTCTCTTTCTCATCCCCCGAAGCGCCCTTGTCCTTCTTGTCCTTCTTCATCCTCCCCTTCAACGAAAGCTTGCGCGATATCGCCGACGGCGGCCTCGCCGGAGGCGTAACGCGCGCCAGGTAATCCAAATTACTCGTGGTGGTGTACTGCATAGCCTTATCCACCCCGCGCGTACACTTTGCCTTGAATCCCGCCCAGCTGGTCGTCTTTGCGTCGCTCATCTTGGCCTGCCGCACCTCCGTCTGCCACTTGCGCTGCACCTTGTGAGCTACGCCCTCCTTCACGCCCTCAGGCGGCGCCTGAAGAGGCGGAGGTGGGGGCGTGTAGATGAGAAAGCGGGTAGGGATGGCATCAGAGGGCGCTTTGGAGCCCAGCCAGGGCTTGGGGAAGGGTACAAGGTAGGTGATGAGCTTGTGGGGGTCTCGGCTGTAGTGGATTGGGTTTGAAGGGTCGTCGTTGCCAAAGTCGGAGCCTTGGCGCTTTGGGGGCGGCATGATGCCTTCTATGGAGGGTGTTCTTGAGAACGGCGGCGGTTCCTGGCTCTGGGAGAGCAGTTCTGCCACGGCTTTGGGGTGAGGGCGAGCTGGTAAGGGGGGCGGGGGTCCGTTTTCTTCTTCTTCCTGGAGGCGCTCTGCGAGAGCGCGGTCCTGGTCTTCGGGCGATGAGAAGGGGTTGGAGGAGAGCGGCCCGTTGGTGCTCCAAGCCGGCTGGGTGTGTCGTTGTGGAAGGGGTGGTGACTGGCCTTCTTCCTCTTCCTGAAGTGCCAGGGCCATTGCGTAGTCACGATCTTCTTGCTCTTGGGCTGCCGGATCTCTACCGTAACCGCCGTGCTCTTGAGCATAAAAGTCGGGGACTTCTGACACTGGTCTTGGATTCGGGACCGGCGGCCGGTCTTCAAAATCCGGGAGCGCTTCTGCGACTTTGCCCTTGTCGATCGATGAACGGCGCTCGTTGGCGTTTGAGTGATCGGTGTTGTGATACAGTACCGCAGGCTCCGGATGCGTCTCAACGGCTTTGCCCTTGTCGAATGAAGAAGGGTACTCAGTTTGAGGGGAGTATGTTGCATCGTAATACCGTTCGGCCTCCGCAGTATCAACTGAGTCTGCATGAGAGAATCCCGTGTCGTGGTGTAATACAGCGGGCTCGGTCATGGGCGACACATGATAATCCTCGTCCACCTTGGTTTGAGTCGGCGAATCAAAAGTAGACGCCGTGTGGTGAGTCGAGACCTTGGACTCGTGAGGCGGTGTTGCTGGTCTATGAGTGCTTGGCGGATCGTAAATATTGTCTTCCTCCTCAACCTCCGGAAGCGCCCCGGCCGCTGCCGCCTGCCTCTCGGCATCCCTATCCCGCCAAGACAGATTCGAGCGCACGCTGTTTGAACGAAGGGTAGAGGGCGTGGCAGGAATGATGTTCACAGCCGGAACCCCGCTCCTCGGTTCGACGGGTGAGTCGTCTTGGGCGTTATCATACCATCGATGCTGAGGTTGCTGCTGTTGCTGCCGCCCAGACTGAGGCTGGCCTTGGCCCGATGGCGATGAGGAAAAGAAGAGCTCTTGCTCCGCAATGGAGCTCGTCGTGTGACGTTCCCTTTCCTGTGTGGTGTCCATCTTTGGTGAGAAGACGATGTTCTCTTTCTTGGCGATGCAGATGCAACGTGTTTCAGAGAAGATCTTTTCCAAGTTTTCGAGAATTCTTAGAGGTTCACACAAGCATGAAGAGAGAAGGAAGAGAGTTCTTTGGGTTCACTTAACAAAATAGGCGCGCATCACTGATCTGTCTCTGAACCTTAATATTGCGCCTCCCCATGAAGAAGGCGAACACACTTTCCAGTCTTTCAACGGCCGGGAAGGGAACGCGCAACACGAGCTGCGGCGTGGGCGAGGAAGGGGGCGGATGACGTGTTTTCAGATATTGAGGGTGTGGCGCAGTGCCATGGATTGTGGCACCGGCCCAGCAATTGGACTTTTGTTCCTAGGCATTCACGCATTCAAGGCGATGGATCATGGCTGATTAAACGAGCTTACCTTGAACGAACAAGGATCCAAGCAGCGGATAGTGTGGCTAGAGAGAAGGCGTTTCATAGCAGAGAGGGGGCGATGCGTTGTTCATTGTTTGTTGGGTAAGGCATAGTGATGTGATCCTGGCCTCACTTGGATCTCGGGGCGGCCTATTCTCAAAAGTTGAGAAACCGTCACGTGATGGTTTATCGGAATGAGCGACAGGCATTCCGTTTGAAGCTCATGTCGTTCGTGAAAACTCTCGAGAGATCTTGCCAGTCCAACCTTGGTGATGTCGTTCCCCGATAACCCGGAACTCCAAGTCCCGATGCTGCGTCTCTGTCGAGAATGAGTATATATAGCGACTTTGCTCACCAGAGAGCAGCCAAGGTCTTGGTGGGTTTCGAGTGGGTTGCGATACGACGGCTGGGCTAGGTGGAAACGCCGGCGAAGCCAGAAACTCCGTGGGGATGCGACGTGTATAAGCAAATAGTCCAATCGCTCAAGACATTGAAAGTTGCGATTGACCATGGTGAGGCCTCATCATGAAGGTTGAGAAGAATTGTTGTAAGAGAGACGTTGGGAATGGCCGGCGTCTACCGCAACACCACCTTTGCCTCCCGGGGGTGGGTTTTCAAGGTCTGTAAATAGACCGCTAGACCAAGACAATATGTTTGAATAGCCAAGGAAACCCGTAATTTCCCTCCGATATTCTCCGTGCCTATCATCGAATAGGTTTCGCAACTCTGGATGTCGTTCGGAGTCAACGACGCTGGCGGCCCTTAATGCTAGGCCCCGTCCCGTTGTCCGCCTTCCGCGTATAGTAAACACCAAATATAGCAGTTCATTTCATCAAGGCGAGAACTCGCCGTGTCAGCTAGTGCCTTATTACCTTCCGTACGAACACGCCATTCATCAAGCGACTGATTAACGGTGGCGGTCATGGTTTCGACATCGGCCGTGGCTGAAGACCGACGTTCAGCGCAGGAAACGGCCCAAACCAAAGAAAAGCCTCCAACTCAAGGCGACATCCAGCGTCTTGCGTGCGAAGGGACGATCCTTGCTGAGGCCCACGGAACGTGTTTAAGCTTTCTCGAAAGAGTTACCGACGCTGCCGTGATAGCCGTGCGCTCGGTCACCCGAAGTCCAGCATACCTCTTCTACGACGGGCAATAGATGGGATCGCTGCGGTGCATTGTGCTACAGCACGACGGGCAGGGAGCCTGTTCGGCCGCGGCAGTGTGGAATCTAAGACAAAAGAGTTGCAGGCGGTGCGGCGCGGTGCGATGCATGTCTGTCAGGGGAATTTCTGGGAATTGCACCAAGGAGATAGCTGAGTCATCCACGCTTTAGGTAAGCAAAAGGGCAGCACGGTGTTTTTGCACCAGGGAGCGCCCGACCGGGCCCACTCCGGCCATCTCCACCCGGGGCTTCGATCCGCGAATAACTTCAACCCCCAGCATCGTTTTCCATTTTGGAAACCTGTCAGTGCTTGTCTCAAGCACCTCAAGCTCCTCGACTCGCTCCGGTCTCTCCCGCTACGTTCCATCACAAGTGGCTCTCTTCTTACAGATTTAGATCATGAAGTTGCTGTTCTCCAAGTTCAGATAAACAGAACCTGTGGTCTTTGCCAACGCCGTCGGTCTGACTTGGCACTACCTTTATGAGGATCTCTAATAAGTCAGTGCTGCTCAACCTAATCTTTCTGCAACTGTCTCTGGACGGTAGCCTTCTCGAAGATGCGGCTCTATCGATAGCACGCCTCGCCCTTCCTGAAAATAACTTTCCCTCCGTCTGAGAAAAGGGCCCCCACTGCGCATGGATGCGTTTCCGCCTGTTGCTCTGAGGCATGTTTCACCGTCATCCCGCCGCTTCTACTCGTCGATCTCCCGCACAGCACCTTTCCCTTACCGCCGCACCGCTGTCCCAGAACCAATGAGAAGAAGAGAATCCACCACCACTTCCCGTCAACCTTTACGCAGCAGGCACCATAGAAGGGGGAAAAATGGATGGTCAGGATGTATTCAGACGTCTTTTGATTCGCCCACTACGTTTTGGCCCCTCTCTTCTCTCACGGCGCAAGAGCCTCTCTGTGTATCTCCTCTCCCATGTTTCCCTGGTATCGTGAAAGGTATGTAGTAAGGCTGATGGGTCCACCATGCTTCGGGACGGCCGCGCGCCGGGACATAAGTGTCAAGCTTGCTTCCCGCGGGTCCTCCCACGTCGAAAAGGCTCCACGCGTCCTTCACAGATAACGGGTCGTTACGAGGGCCTGGAAAGAAAGATGAAGTTGCATCAGGAGACAAAACACAACCGGGCCCAGAAGAGACCCACCTCCGGTGCTTATTTTGGTCGTCGTATTGCAATGCTCCATCCGTTGATGGCAGGCCGAAGGTTCTATCCTATGTGGTGGTAAACCGTCTGACCTTGGCAAAAAAGTGTCAAGACATGCCTCCCCCGCCTCTCGGACCCGGAAGGTTGGGTTGAGACTTGTCAGTATAAGTATTACTAGTCGGCTCGTTCCCGTAGATCGTCGTCCTGGCTTGAACCTAAAATTCCAAGTCTTCACTTTTCCTTTCTTTTCTTTAACATCACCGGGCTGGCTTCCCGTTTCGCTTCGCCCGCTCCCGCACAATGCAGCCGACGAGCTTCTTCACGCTCGCCTTTGCTGCACTGGCGGCAGCGGCTCCACCTCTTATGGATGTACTCAAGAGCAATAATGATACCTTGAGTACTCTGACCTGTATGTTCTTCCATAGGATAGGCCGTGTATGGGCAGAAGAGCGTGACTACTAACACCACCAAATAGCACTTCTGGCGATGGTTCCAGCACTGAACCAGACCCTCGTTAAAGCCAAGGACGTCACCATCCTCGCTCCCTCCAACGATGCCTTCGTCAAGATGATGCAGATGGACCCTACGTTTGCCCAGAAGGCGACCAACGCAACTTTCCTCGCCGATCTCCTAAGCTACCACGTCGTCAGCGGCAAGACCACGGCCACCATGTTTTTCGAACAGCCCAAGTTCGCCCAGACCCTCCTCGAGATGCCCACCGCCAACGTCACGGGTAATCAAAAGGTCGAGCTTGTCAGGAAGGGTGACCAGGGCAGGGTATTCAGCGGCTACAAGCAGATGAGCGTCATCACAAAAGCCGACGTCGCCTTCCAGAACGGCGTACTTCACATCATCGATACCGTCTTGACGTTCCCCGGATCCCCCGCCGACACGGCTATGAACACGGGCCTCACGAGCATGGCGGGCGCGTTGATAAAAGCTGGGTTGGTCGATGGTGTCAACTCTTTGCAGGCCGCGACTGTCTTTGCACCGACGAATGCTGCGTTCCAGGCTATTGGGGCTACGGTTGCGTCGATGGAACCTGCGGATCTTGCTAGGATCCTACAGTATCACGTTCTCATGAACCAGGTCCGGTTCACCACAGGAGTGGCAACCAAGATGGGATATAAGAGTCTGATGGGCGAGAAGGTTTCGCTGCGGAAGGAGGATACTACCGTCTTTGCCAACTCTGCCAAGGTTACTATCAAGGATATCATTACCAGCGACGGTGTTATGCACGTCATTGATAGGTAAGCATGTCTTGTTCCATTCCCAGCTCATAGCTTTCCAGGTTACTTACATACGAACAGTGTCCTCAACCCAGCATCACCCAAGTTGAGCCCAGGAACCTCAACGGCTGCCTTCCCCGGAGCAGTTCAAGCTGCCAATGCCCCCTTCACTGACGGTGTCAAGCCGACTGCGAATTTCACTCCGGCTGGGGCGAGTTCGAGAAGTTTTGATGCCTCGCTCAAGTTTGCTATGATGGGGTTCATGGGCTCTGTGGCTGTTGCGTACCTGTAAGTAGAGGCGACGTAGTGTCTCACAACAACTCTCATTCTTTGAAGCTCTGGTGAGCAGACATTATACTTGAGAAGAAGTGCCATCTTGTTTCTCACATAATTACATTTAATTGGAGTGGTATACTGCTATGGTTGATACTTTAACCGTCCGCGATGTTTCAGTCGACTTTGATGAGCATCCAGTGGCTTTGAGTGAGATGTCATGCATGAAAGAGGGTCGAATCTTGGTAGCGCTTTCCTGCTCCCCTGCATTGGATATGACTGCCCAATTGCAATGGTGAGCGTGAGATGGAAGGCACATTTGGTAGTGAGGTACTTTACGTCACCTCCACTTATGCCAGATTGATGCCCCGTAATGTGATTACAACTTCACCACATCTTCCGACTGCATATAAGCAGGAGATTTCTTTATTGGCACAACCTCGTCCCATGCTGAACCAGAAGAACCGCTCAATCATCCCATCGTTCTCATTTGCCCTCACGCACGCCTCCAAATGTGGCTCATCAACACGTCATCCCACAACCTTGAAGAGTTCATCGGCAGAGACATACCACCCTACGCAATCCTTTCGCACACATGGGGAAAGGATGAAGTGACATTCCAGGATATGAAGGATCCAAGGTTCTTAGTTCGGGAACAGACTATCAGGAAGGCCGGCTTCGTCAAGATCGCAAAAGCCTGCGGGCTAGCTCAACAACAAGAGCTGCAGTACGCGTGGGTCGACACGTGTTGTATCGACAAGTCAAGCAGTGCTGAGCTGACGGAGGCCATCAACTCAATGTTCAAGTGGTATCAGCGAGCAGCCATCTGTTATGCCTGGTTATCTGACCTGGACCCCTCCGCCGACATTGACAGCGACTTCGACGGTAGTGGAGACTTGGGTCAATGTCGCTGGTTCACGCGGGGCTGGACCCTCCAAGAACTCATCGCGCCCAAGGAAGTCGAATTCTACGACCGAGACTGGAACCTCGTCGGCTGCAAAAGTGGTCTTGTCGACCAGCTCCACGCTATAACAGCCATCGCCAAAGATGTCCTCGGCAACCGCCATCGCTCTTTGTTGCACACCTGCGTCGCCGAGAAGATGTCCTGGGCCGCAGGGCGGGAGACAACACGTGTCGAGGACGCCGCCTACTGTCTTATGGGCATATTCGGTATCAATATGCCTCTCTTTTACGGTGAAGAAGAGAAGGCATTTCAAAGACTCCAGAATGAGATTCTGCGCGAGAGCGACGATGTGACGATCTTTGCATGGGAGAGAGCCCGACATAGACCGCCGCCAGATCAGTGCTTCTTTGACAACGGCCGGAATTTCGGCGGCGTGCTCGCCGAATCCGCAGACGACTTTGCCGTTCACCGCCATCAAAGAAAGATCTATCCGCCGCCTATCAGGCGACCGACGCTTGAGTTGACGAAGAATTGCATCAAAATTTACACCGAGCTCGTCTGGGAAGAAGCGCCCGAAGTCAGCGGACGCCGTTATTACATACACTGTGGCTCTCGTGGCGAGAAACACGTTGCTATCCGCCTCGTTAAAGTTGTAGGCGGCTCCTTCATACGAGAGGCTCTGGATCAATGCGCCTCAACTTGCATTTTCCACATAGACGCCCAGCGCCGACGAGAGTTCAGCCTGCTCGTCAATACCTCGAGTTATCCAATTCGCCTACTCAGCCACGGCGGATGGGACCTGGTGAAAATGAAATTCCGTTGCCCCAAAAATATGAAGGTCGCAGAGGCCTGGCCATGGTCGAAGTGGCACGATGAGGAACTGGAATTCGTGGCGTACCCGACGCGTCTTTGCGGGTCTATCCTCTTTCACGTTTACCACGCAGTCCCCTCTACAAACCACGAGGCGATCCCCCGCGAAGACTACAGGACAGATATTGTCTTCATTTTCAACCCGCACGAGATTCACAGTGACATCCAGGAAGTGAAGGGAACCCTCCTTGAGAGATACGGTGAATTTCAGGCAAAAGTGGACCATATTCACTCTTTTCTGAATTCCGAGGAGCCTGATAATTTGGGCTTTAATGACCTTCTCACGCAAATTGGCTTACCCACGTCCAATAAGGTTGCATTCGACTTGGGAACGTCGAAGCGGTCTGCTGTACTGTCATTCACCTCGAAGAAGCTTACAGTTCCCGTGATAGGCTCGACCTCCCCAGCCTGGGAAATCACGTTCGAGATGAACGAGACTAAAAGATTCAGTGGATCAGTAAAGCACAAGAAGTGGCAAGCCGATTATTGATGTCTAATGGGAGGCTGAAAATTCGAGCTCAATAATACTGATAGATACTCAAGACATAGAAGACGTCTGGTATAGTATCGGCGTTGCATAACCATGCTCATCAGGATATACCTGAACAGATGCTTAAATCTCTGCATGGTACCGCGTTATCCATTACCATCTTCATTTCCCGCTATCCAAGGAGGTTCCTGAAGGGAGATATAATGGGTTTCGATTTCCGTAGGCAGTTGATCAAATTGGAAATCCAATCCTCCGAACGATACTGTGGGGCACCTTAGGACTCCACGGCTCTTATGGCGAGTTTCGATATTGAAATCAACTTCCTGGGGTGCCATGTAACACAATACGGGAGGGACTCAAGCATCACGGGAGGAGACGGGAAATTCTCTGAGGTCAAGGGATGTCTGCCTATGGACAGGTCTATTCTAGGTAGAGAGGCCAAGTTAAGTGCACTGAATAGTACTACTACGAGCTTCTAGCCCCTACCTTCATGGTGAAAATTTATATGTCACGGGCTCAGATAATAACGGCGCCCGAGCTACGAGTATTTAAATAGTGACATGGACCCCGAATGTGTACCCTTCTGGTGTTCTACAAGATGCAATGTGGTTTTGTGTTCTATCAGGTACATTGTTCTTGGCGATCTTGTTTGAGGAGAAGAAGAAGGCTGTTCTGTTGCCGGTTTTGTCTTTGGCCGTTGCGGTATCACCAGTTGGCAGTTATCTCACCAATACCTACCCCTCGCCATCCTCTTCCGAAGCGGATTGGGTGCTCATGAGTTCCCACTGGTTAACATGCGCAGAGAGCACGCGATCTATACTTTCGTCCCCCTCGGTAGGTCCGTCTGAAAGACTCAAGAAATTCTTGGCCTCGTCTTCAGAGAGTCCGCCAGTCTGCCGGCAAAGCCGGTACAAAACGGATGTTGATAAGTATTTGCCGGGGGTGGCCCAGAGAGTTACGCCTTTTCATCTTCTTCTGGTAATAGAGCCCAAATATTCATAACTGAATACACCAGGGATGAGTAGAGAACACCTATAGAACAGCGATGATATGCCATACCTCGTAAATTACCACCAATGTTGGATAAAATCGTCTTCGACATGGACGCAAAGCAGCAGCGGCACCTCAACTCGCTCGGAGCAGAGGTCCCTTGCACACCAGAAACGCACTGTACAAGGGCAGGCTGTGCGTTGCCTCATAGATCCTACCAACCTCACAAAAGGCAGGCTGTGCGTTGCCTCATAGATCCTACCAACCTCACAAAAGGCAGGCTTTACATCAAGATACCACCCCCCCCCCCCCTTCGCCCCTCGCCCTAGGTATACTCCATTCAGCCCCCTCCATCGTCATCTTCAAAGACGAGACGAGCGCGACGGAGACTTCATCGATACTCACTCTGGCGCCCGAGTACCTCGATGAGAGGGAGCGCGAAGGAAAACCTCTGGCGTGGGAGCCCGAGGCGCCACTTATGCACCCCATCGACATCTACGAGGTACGGCGGCTGTTATTGCTACAAGCCTGACGGGAAGCACGTTCGATCTTCTCTTCATAGCCAATCTTGTTTCTACATCACAAGATTGCGGCTCAAAGGGCTCCTTTTGTGTATACAATGAGTTAAATTGTAGTTCAACTTGAATCGTGACAAGAATAGCTAAGCTTGCCTGGCAAGCCTTGACAAACCTCAGCTCATCGACGTCACGATAATATTCAAGCAATGCTTTAAATCTGTATAATTACCTCTTTCTTAACTCGTAACCCGGTATATACATGCATACAACAACTCACGTCATGAAAGACGGTCCCCAACGGAACGATTGCCCCGCACCCCAGAGTCCCCTGAAGCAGGATGATAAAAAAGAAAAGAGTCAGAGTGCCCCTGATTGTGAGGTATCCAAAAAGGGGCTTGTAGGTAGAGAGGGAAAAGCAGACCACGCAGTTGAAAAACCAGAGGGAAACAGGATTTGAAAAAGAGAAGAAAAAAATTGGAAGATGCTTTTTGAACCGGTTATGACTCCAGATAAGTTTGAGTGTCCGCGCCGAGCCTTTGTGAATCTAATCCGCTCCTTGATCATTGGACGCCTGAGCCCCTTACATGGTGGGAATACCCTCGTACTCGGCGTAGCCGAGGGCGAGGTTCATGTTCTCTGTGGCAGAGTGTTAATATACTTGCTTCTTCCGAGGGGCCTAGATAGAGGTGGGGTTGACTTACGAAGACATTGAGTTGCCGCGCCCTTGAGCAGGTTGTCAATGGTAGCGCAAACGACGACGCGCTTGCCGCTGCTGTGGACAGCGAAACCACCAATCTCAACACCGTGCTTGTTCATAATGTTCTTGACCTGCGGTGAGTCGCCAATGACCTTGACGAGCTTCTCGCCGGCGTAGCGGTCCTGGTAGATCTGGCGGATGTCACGCGAGGTGATGGTCTTGTTGAGGGGGATGTGGATGGTGGCCTGGATACCACGGAACCAGGAGGCGACGTGCGGGGAGAAGGCGACGTCGGTGCCGAGCTTGGCGCTGATCTCGCGCTCGTGGATGTGGTCAGTCAAGCTGTAGGGCATGAGGTTGTCCTTGAGCAGGTTGACGTCGTTCTTGGGGGAGGGCTTGGTGCCGGCGCCTGAGTAGCCAGAAATGCCGAAGACGGAGGGGGAGCCGCCGAGGTGCTCGACGAGGGGCGCAATACCAAGCTGCGCAGCGGTGGCATAGCAACCGGGGTTGGAGATCTTGTCAGCCTTGTAGATCTCGGAGCGGCCGGTCAACTCGGGCAGACCGTAGGTCCAGGTGTTGTCGAAGCGGTAGTCGGCAGATAGGTCGACAATGACACTGCGGTGGTCGGCACCGCTCTTGCGGGCATCAGCGATGGCCTCAATGTAAGGCTTGCAGACACCGTTGGGGAGAGCCATGACCCAGCAGTCGATGGCGCCCTTCTTCTCGAGCTCGGTGACCTGGTCGGGGCTCAGGTTCTCGTAGGTGATCTCGCGCTTGGTGTAGCCCTCGAGCTTCTGGCCGGCGAGCTCACGGGACGAGACGTGTCTGAGGTCCATGTTGGGGTGCGCGTTGAGCATCTCAATAAGAGCCTGGCCGGTGTAACCACGGGCACCGATGAGAGCGACGCGGGAGGGGACGTCGTTGGAGGCGTTCTTCTTGCCCAGAGGGGGGTTGGGGTTGGTGGTGGTGTAGGTGGCGAAGGTGCGCTTGCCCGAGAGAGCAGCGGCAGCCGGAGCCCATGTCGGGCGGCGAGCCATCGTTGAGAAGCCACGGGCCTGGGCGGGGGTGGAAGACTGGTTGAGGTTGCGGCTCGAAGTCTGGGCGGCGCGACGGAGGCGGGCCTCAAGGTTGGAGTCGCCCAGCATGGCTCTACCATGGGCGTTGAACTCGTCGGTCAAGACGCCGAGCTCCTGGAGGTTGTCGATGCCGTACCAGAAGAGCTGGTTGCCCTTGCTGGAGAAGCTTCCGTCGGCCTTGTCGAAGAACCAGGTGAGGTTCTCGTCCTCCTCGCTGACGGTCCAGACGAGCTTGGGGTGGTCTTTCTTGATGGCGTGGAACACGTTCTCAGTGACGTTGCTCAACCATCCCTCCTTGGTGACGGTGAGGGTGGCCAGGGTCGGGTGGGATCGGTTCTCGTTGGGGGGCAGGACGATGGCGAGGCAGTTCAAGGGCTCGTCGTAGTAGGCCTTGAAGGGGGTGCCCTTGAGGAAGTCGATGTAACGGTCGACGGTGGCCTCGGCGTCCATGCCCTCGCGGTCGCGAATGAGGGTCTGCTTCAGCTTGGCGAGATCGGGGAACGATTCGATGCTGTCGGAAAAGGCGATCTTGTCGCCGCGGCGAATCAGGGTACCGGCGCCGGAGTCGGTGAACAACTCCTTCTGCAGGTCGCTGGGGTGGATGATGGCGACGCTGGAGCTGCGGGGCAGGGTCTCGAGAAGCTCCTTGATCTCCTTGATCTTGAGGCGAGTGCCGTAGCGGCACCAGGATTGAGACATGAGGTGGTCGTACTCCTCGTCGAGGTTGATGTGGGAGATCTTGTCGCCAGTCTCGCCGTTGAATAGACCGCCCTTCTCGGAGAGGTAGACAATCTTCAAGGGCTCCAGTGCGCGGGCCAGCTCAGCCGCAGCGACATCGGCGTTGACGTTGAGGATCTGACCCTCGGTGGTCTCGGCCATGGAGGTGAGGATAGGGACGTAGCCCTGGGAGATGGCGAGCTCAACGGGGGCCTTGTCGACGCTGCTGATCTTGCCGACGAGGTTCCACTTCTCCTTGTCGAGGTAGTCGGCGGTGAGGACGGTGGTCAGAGGGCGGGTGCGGACGCCGAGGCTCTCGAGCTTCTCGACGAGCTTCATGTTCTCCTGGAGGAAGAGCTTGCGGGCAACGGTCAAGGTCTTGCCGTCGGTGACGCGGATACCCTCCTCGAACTGGGGCTCAACACCAGCCTCCTCGAGGAGACGGTTCAGCTGGGGGCCCGCGCCATGGACAATGACGGGGTACAGGCCGACCTCGTAGAGGAAGGCAATGTTCTCGCAGAGGTCATCAATGTAGTCGGTGAGAATGGCACCGCCGACCTTGATCACGGCAAACTTCTGGGACGAGACGGAAGTGAAGTATGAGAGGTATTGCTGGCCCTCGCGGCGGCTGCCGATCTGACTCAGTGTGCGGATAATGATGGCGCGAGTACGGTCGCGGTTGGCCTGCTCGGACTGGGAGCTGGTGGAGGAGAGGGCGCGGATGGCATTGAGGCGCTGGAAGGGGTTGTTGACTCGGGTGGCGGCGATGTTCTGGCGACGAGCGACACGAGGCACGGCGCGGCGGGCGCCGGCCCGAAAAACGGCAGAGGTTGCGGAGAGCATCGCGACTATTTGGACTTTTGGTGGGAAAACAGGTCAGCCAGGTTGCGACGTCAACGAAGAAAGCAATTGAGAAGCAGAGATGTGTGTTGCGTGGTCTTCGCCCTCGTCATCTGCTCTTTCTGCCCGTGCTCTCTACTATCGGTATCGTATTCCCTCGTCCTCGGGGTCGTTGCGGTCGGCTTCCCGAGGAACGGCGGTCGAGCAATGTGGAGGCGGATGGACTCGACGAGAGGTATAGAAGGGGGAAGGAAGACGTTTGGGTACAATTCAAGGTGCGTGAGCTCCTTCACGGAGCATTGGAGGTCTGGGAAGGATAGAGAAGACTCACACACACACAAACACCTCACACAACAGACCCAGGCAGATTAGCTTCGAACTCGGTCTGACTGACTGACTCTCTCTCTGACTCTTCTAGCTGCCAGGAAGAGTGTCCAATTCCAGTTCAATTGAACAGCCCGGGAGGGTATAAGGGGTGATTGACGGGGGAACGGAAGAAAGTAGGAGAGAGCAAGAGAGTAAAGGAAGAAAGAGGGAGAGAAGGAAGAGCGTAGGTGTTGGGGAATCGGAGAGACGAGGCTTTTTACTTTTTGAGGCCTGCGAGACTGTGACTGGACGTTTTTGGTGGTGTGGTGGGCGGTGGTGCGGTGCGTGGGCAACAGAGCCGGTATGATGCAGTGGAGGTGTGGAGGAGGGGCAGGGGCACCGAGCACCCAGCAACTGTGCAGGGCCGCAGGCAGGAACCTGAGCGGGAAGCAATTGGCGGGTATTACCTTCCACCAGCCAAGGGAAAAAATCGACCGGTACCGCTCTCCGCTGCCATTGGCAGTCTGCATTGGCTCGCCGCCGGCCGCCCACACTTCGCATCCGCATCTGGGGCGCCATTTGACAGCTGGCAGCTCATCGGTGACATGCGATCGCGGCGATTTGGGAAGAGCTAGGTACCTTAGGTATGTGCCGTTCAAACAATTCTCTCTTCTTTCTCGATGCTACACTCTTCTCTTTCGTGCTTCCGCCTTTCCAAATACCATTCTACTAGAATGTCTCCTTCTTCCCAGTGTCGCGAAAACCTCGAGCAAGTCAAATCCCAACCAAGAACCACTCCCGCTGCACCACCCGTCACCACCACCCTCATCCACCCGTCGAACCTCAAAACGGGAAAAAGCGCCCCATCACGAGTGGACACCCCGGTTATTGGTCGGATCTGATAAGGAATCACCCCGGTACGTACAGATCACCAAATGCGTGTGCTGGGCCACCGGGATCTGCAGCAGCCATGCACTTTTTTCTTCTCTTCGCTGCACTGCACTGCACAACAAGCTAAAAGAGGCATTTCCGTAACCTAGAAAATGTTACTTGAAAATTTCAATTCTTCTTCTCGGCTAGGTGGAGTAATGGGGGAAGAGCGAGAGCGCCTGACACGAGCCGAGGCAGGCCAGACATCCCATCTCAATCGTTGAAGATGTTCCGGACGTTGCTTCCTGACTGACTGCTGTTTTTTTAACATCGTGACCGTGCATATGTAGCCCGGCAAATGTCTAGACCACACATGAAGAAAAGAACAAACTGGCAACCAACCAACACGCATCTAAAGTAAACCGTCCATCCTCCCAACAAGAATCCCAAAATGCAATGGCCAGCTTCGTCTCTCTCCGTACCCTCCCTCCCTCTATACTCTAGTCGTCCCTGAACCATGTGGAAACGACAGAAAAAAAGAGTGGACATCGAATGTCAACTCTAAACGCCTTCTCGGATCCGTACCACCGCTGGCCCAAATTCCGACGCAATCCCGGGGACCGGCGCAGAGATCGCCGAGCTTGAGATGAACCATTCAGGACCTGGACCTGCCATGCTGCCTTACCTTACCTTGGCTAATAATACGGATACCAACCGTGGGCTACTGCTACTTTATTTAGGATGGCCCACGGCAGTATGCAAGACTGACTGCCTGGCTGGTCCTCGTTTACCTGCTCTCATTCATCCACACACACACTTGTACGCACACCGCTTGAGATCGTGGCTCCGATAGTATACGTGGTAGACTCTTCTAGAGGGGGCTCGTCTACCGAGACTGGCAGTTTCAGAATCCCTCATGGTTCCATTCACTGGGCCCTGGAAGCTTGATTCCGATAACATCGTCACATTGAGCAAGTTTTGATCGGCATGGTTCGATATCTCGATTTCCTTCGATCAGCACGTAATGAGATGCAGGAAAACGGATCATCCAGCAGGCACCAATAATGAACCAGAACATTGTATTCACAGTCAAAATGTTCACGGAAAGTTCGGACACCGTTATGAAAGAGATCTCGCAGAGTTGCTGTGGAAAAAAAGACTCGTCACTTCATTCATATACAACAAGCGACCAGACTGGATATCAAAACCAGGGCCAGTGAGAATTCAAATTACGCAAACGCCTGCCATCCCTCATACATACATGCGGTTGATCCGCAGCCGGGCCGTTGCGACTGGCTAGCTTCCTCGGAGCGAATCCCGGAGCCGGCCAGAGCAGGCCTTTGCATGCAGACCGTTGAAGTAGATCGGAGTCCGTTTCGAACAACCTCCGCGCTTCCCAAGTCATTAACCCATAGAGGTTGGCTCTGTGTGCCGCCTCATCCCCTCGTCTCCCACGGTTGCTCGAAGCCTGCGAGATATCTGACAATTCATTTCCATATCATGAGGGCGAACCATGAGCCCAAGGGGCTAGTATAATGCAAAAAGTGTGGTATCTGTTACTTGCGAGTAGCAACAACTGAGGGGGTTACGTTAGCGCGTTGCGACGACTACAACATTGACAATGATTAGAGCCACAGAACAGAGACAGACGCCGCGATCCAAAGGAAAAGCGCTCGAGAAAAATGGGAGACATACCGGCTGGAATGACAATGATGAGAATGAGGATGATGATGCCGGCAATCAAGCACATGCGCATCTTGACGTCCTTCCACCACATCTGCTTGCGGACGCGGTTGGCGCCCCGACGGAAGCCCTGAGCTGACACAGCCAGGTTGTCGGTCTTATCTTGCAGAGCATCCAAACGCTCGCCTCTTTGGGAGACCTTGTTGATGTTCTCGCGCATCACGCCGACGGTGTCGTCGATTTGCTATAAATAGATCATTAGCACATGACTCTGATGATACGATTCCGAGTACGCAATAAGCGAAACAAATTTGCCCCTGATTGCAACGCCAGCGACGAACAATGAAAAATCGGAAAGCGATTGTGGTTCCTAGTGTTCAGATACTGTGCGGTCGCAGAGGCTCGTCAAGTTGCATCGTGGTCAATTCGCTGGGGATTTCCAGATTACTGTTATCGATTGCGTTGGCTAGGGGACACGGTGGGCATTCTGACAACCATCACCGACGCGATCGACGTTGTCAGGTATGACGACTGTTTATCTCCCGCTCAACGGCGTACGATATCGCTTGTCGTCGATATGCGGCCGACGAGCTGAAGAATTGATGCGATGCCCCAATCAGGCGTAGTTGGCGACAGCTTAGGTCGGGCGGGTAGCTCGGTCGGTCGTCGTCATCTGGCGTCGGGTAATCCGGGGCAAAAGGTCGAACCAACGAAAAAGAACCACCTCGCGATGAAAACATCAAGTAAAAAGCAGCGCAACTTACAGCTTGCAAGGCCTGGGTTCTCGCGTTGCCGCCAGCTCCTCCTTGCTGTTGCGTGCCGGCCGTGTTGGCAGCCTGGCCGCTGGGGATGTACGGGTCGTAGGGGGCGTCTTCGGGCATTGTCGCTGTGGTGACGGAGATGTGAGGAGGGTGAAGTTGGGGTTTGCCGGCGGAGCTCGAAGCTGCAGCTGATGGATAAAAGTCTTGCTTCGGGAAAGCGAGATTGAGGATTGAGTTGAACGAGGTTCCGGGTTTGTTGGAGGATGCAAATGGCAATCGGTCGCGGTTTGTTGATTGATGGTTGTAGAGTGTGTGAAGTGTGGTTGGGAAAGAGGAGAAAAGGTGGTTGGAGACTTGGAGGGTGTAGGCGGGCTGATGAGGTGGTTAAGTTCAGGTTCAGGTGATGAGACGCCTCCCGCTTGGAAAAAGAGGCGAGAGCCCAGCCGAAACAAGGTCCCCGTCTGAGGATTTGGGGGGGGATGCGCTGCTGTTTCTTGCCGGGGGGTGGCACGGGGGCACGGGGGGTTTCCAGGTTGGGGTGGTGAGGAAGACTCAAGACGGTCGGAAGGGGACGACGACGGCCACCTTGGGGGATGCTGGACCACTAATTTTAGTCGAGCTGGGAACGACCCAGCCACTGGAACAAACTAGCAGCAGGACCTCCCAAGGGTTGGAAGGGGCGCAAGAGGCGCGCGACAAGGCAATGAATCCGACCGATAGCAACAATAACCAGTTGATTCCAATGGTCCCTGGGTGAGATGGTGAGTTGCACGGCCGTCAGGACGGAGACGGGGCACCGGGGGGGTCAAGAAGAGGGATGGTGGAACGGTGGACGAGGGCCAATCAAAACGACCGTTTCGAGCAGGTCGGAGACGGACTGAGCGGTACGTATCCTTCGTCCGGTGCCTGGGGAACCTGGCGAAAAGTGGAAATGCGCAGTCAGTCACGAACGCAGTGCCAAGTGGCCCTCTCTTCTCTCTGTCTTTTTCCAACTCAAAAGTCTGCTGTTCTTTTTGGCTCTCTCCCTGCCTGCGGGTGCTCATAGACATGACAAAGGCCCAACAAAGGTTGTTCCCTGAATACGAGAGCAACTGGAAGCGTCTCCGGGCCAGCACTGCCATTCCCTCGTCAGCTCTTCCTTGAGAGGGGAGAGGACCACTAAGGAATCGCAGTCACGCAGACTCGTTCCAGGGACTATTCCCATGGAGACCTTTGCTCCGACCTTCCCAACTTGCTTTGCTACACTGCTGCTGAGAAGGCTGGGCATTAGATTGGCGTCAGCTTTCTGCGCAGCAAGGTGTTTTCTGGCGCCTCCCAAGTAGTCGGAGCCAGTGCCACGGACTCGCGGCTTCTGATGTAATCATCGGGGCGGTGCTGCAGGGTCGTCACGACTCACAGCCTGGACCCCGACGGAACTGAATTGCCCCGGAGCCATGACTTGCACCATGCCACCATCTCATCCGATCCCATCCTCAACCTCTAAATTTCCAGGTTGTCTCCTTGGCGGCACGTGAAAACCTGCCACGTGATACGCGTACTATCCCCGAATACGATGACAAACCCGCGTCCGAATATTACCCGTGTCATGTGGCTTGACCTTCGGCCAAGACCTTACGTAAGGCGAAATTGGTCTGTCTTGTGGCGCAGCATAGTGGCGTTGCATCACCCAGACCAGACCAGAATTTCTCCAATACCATCTTCTGCCTGCCCACAGCAGTAACCCAGAAACCGTAAACTCCAGCCGTTCGTCGACCATGGTAGATGATGGTTTCAATCTATCCAGGCCTAGCACCGCCAAGGTTGAAGAAAATGACAGTATAAAGACACATCGAACTGCCAAGCCAGCAGCACCCAAAGCAGAGATGCCTATATTGGCAATCGAATCCGTTCTTGTACACTGAGAGAAACGGGAATTTAACTCTAGGGAGGAACTTCACCGGCTGGACGTTGAGAACACCTGCCGCTACTCCAACATTCATCACGAGGACCAGAGACCCAGATGAAGCCGGAGACACCAACGCTGTAGCACCCGGTACATCGCCATGAGCGCAAAGAAGGCGACGATATACCCACATGTTGACTTGAGCCCGTACCGCTTCCGCACGTCCTGTGTCGCTATTGCAGGACCATCCCCCATAAAGCACGCTGCAAAGCTGATCTTACCGCTTGCGATATCTCGACGAACCCTGGACGGTCGCAACTTCGTTTCATCGGCCTACCGGTCGGGCTGGCACGTTACCATGAGCGTTCAACGAGACAACTGGCAAGTGTCTACGAGACCAGATGCGGTTGAACACATCATAATTTCAGGCTTGCTGCCGAGGAATGGACTTTGTAAGGGCAAATTGCGCTCTTCGCACTCAGCAATGCGGAATGATGAGACTCAATGCCAGCGAACCAGCCGGTGACAAAGCGGTCCACGTACCACGATGCTCCGCTGGCATGCTACTTTGCTGTTGCCTAGGCCAAATGGAAACGCATTCTTCAGTCTCGACGGCAATGTTTGGAGAGGGCTCAGAGTGCGAGCCTGGCTGCATTTACCATGCGATGGCTTACTCACGGCCAGGCCTACGAATGGATATTTGCATAAGATCGGCTCCGAGTTTGTGCCCCTACTAAGCGCGCCGGCGGCTGACCCGATGCACTGATGGAATGGAGCGACCAAGTGCTGAAGCTAAATCGTTCGCGGAAATGGGTTCATTCGCTCGAGCAGCCGCCAAGCTTCAGGTTTATCAATTTTAAAACGGCCTACAACGGCTGAGAACATGAGGACAAGGTCATCTAATAACGCGACGGCAAACGGTCGTCTGATGTCCTTCGATTGTCTGTCTGCCCTGAAAGCATCACATCGCTCCAAGCATACAACATCCGAACCTGGAGGAATCAAGACCCTATTCTCGGCAGTCAACCTGGAGGATTCTTGGCGTCGGCCTACGGCGATTCCCCCGCTCGCTACCAATTCTTACTTTGTAGCCCACCAGCAGGGAGGCGGCGGCCCGGACAGCTTTGGGCACTGTTTGGTACTGATTGGACCAAGTCTAAAGTCCGGGACCAGCGGCATATTGGCCCTGTCGCTTCCTAGCCACCCCCCAGAAGCTCTGCTGATCAACGACGTCAGCTAGCCCCGTTTTATTCATGTTATTCATCCAAGTTATTCAAGCGGAACTCCAACAAGTGGCATCATGCGGCATACCGTCGCCCAAAAGCAGAAGCAGATGGCTGCTTGCACCGCGCCGTCTTGCTGGGCAAGGTCGCAGCGCAAAACCAAGACACCAGAATAGGATACCATACACAGTACCGCGAAGACACTATGGTGTTCACAAAGTCAATTCGCTCAAGTGTCGTCCGACTTTGACCAGATGCAAAAGCTAATCCGATTATTAACAGCCACAATGTCTGATCAAAAGACGAACCAGTGGGTCGTTCGGCACTGAAAGCAGGCTTTAGGCCAGAGAGGAGACACAGAGACAAGAAACGCAGGCTGGGAAACATTGATGATTTAGTGATTCTCGCAACAAACCTTGGGTCGACAGCGGCACAGGGGGGGGGGGATCCAGAACCTACACTATGTAGGTAGCCCCAACAGTTCCCACCTGGGTTCCGGAAACGTCACTAAGTTACCTCACGCAGTGCGAGCTGGGGGATGCCAGCGACGGGTCAGCGATGTGCAGCACCAAGCTCATGGGATGGCAGGGGTTCGGACCACAGCCAGACGCGCTGTGGATGGGACGGTTGCACAAGCATCACAAGCATGTTGAACAAGCTTAGCTGCCAATGCTAACGCTAGAAACAGAAGCAAGGAGGATGGCCAAAGACCAAGGGCAAACTGGCAAATTGACTCTGGCACCAGGAAAGAAACAAAATACCTACCGGCAGGCTACCCAATGGCTGGGAGTCGCTGGACGGCATCAAACACACGAAACCACAACAAGCACACACGGCGGTGAGACATTGTTAGTTGTAAGACTGGGTCTCGTTCAGCTGGTTTCGCGATTGCTTGATTATCCAGTCTTACCAGTCCCGAAATGCACTCGGCTCTCATACCTCGGTGCCTGTCCTATTTGTTGTTCCCCAGTCCAACTTTAGCCAGAAACGAAGGCAAATCTCGCCTTTGCGGGATCCTCTTTGCAAAGTTCGTATTGCTTTTTGGGAGCTATTAGTGGACCTCCGCCGCTCCTTTACTTCCCTCGGTCTCTCGACTCGAACGGTTCCGTCTTTGCTGGTGTCTTCGACTGCTCCTGACCAAACTCGTATTTACTTGGGGCTAGAAGCTGCTTCTCCCCTCCCACCTTCGTTTTTCGGTTTGTCTCTCACGGACGACTAAGGCAGATGCAGACTTAAGAGACAGAAGAAGCAGCAGCAGTCAACCAGTAGTGGCAGCAGCAAGCGTGCGCACCTCCACCGTCATCGCTCCTACTCGATCCTCCCCGGTTACTTCGGTCTGGACGACGAGAGCCTGGATCCTGAACCTGGCAGACTGGGCTTGCCTGACCACCTCGGAAACTGACAAGGTGCTACTGCTTCTTTGAGGGGTGTAGTGTGTTCAACCTGCATGCACGTACATGCCAACACCAACATACAAGAACACGCACTTTCCCAGGCTTAAAGCAGTGTTGGTGCGCAAGTGTGTGTGGTGTGGACAGACCAGCCGCCATACGAATTCACCTTTCGTTTGTTGAAGAGGGGAAAAAACGCCAACCAACCTTGCCAGTTCTTAGCTCGCATCATCGGAGCTACTCCATTACCTCACGAACGTGGCCCGACTCCCATGCGCACCGTCTGCCCGGTTTATGCCAGCAAGTCTTGACATTGTGCAAGTTTTTGGCCGCTTTCTTATTCCGACCTTGCGGCATCCACTCGATCTCTATCTTGACACTTAATCGACGCTTCCCCCAGATTCCCAATCTTCAGTCCAACCTTTCATGCGGTCCGTTCATCGAAGCCAAGGATCCCTCCCACTGCAACCTACCGCATCATGATCGCAATGCGGGGCCGGCCATCATGGGCTTCTGTAAGCCGGCTTTTGCCGGCATTTTTACTGGCAACCGTCCAGTTCACCACGGCATACAATTTGGACACAAGTGATCAAGGTGAGCGCAAATGGCAATCTGATGACGATCTCGACTCACAAGTGGTATTCATAGCCGGTATTAAAACCATTGCGAGGTCAATGACCGAAGATCTCATGTCGTTCTACGACGGAGACAAACCTGGCAAGACCCCAGGTCTTCTCCCCGATCCATACTACTGTAAGTACACACCCGAATCCCTGCTCTGCTCTCGACTAACATCATGCCAGGGTGGGAGGCCGGCGCGATGATGGGCACCATGATCGATTACTGGTACTACACAGGTGACAGCACTTGGAACGACGTTGTCACTCAGGGTCTCCTCCACCAAGTTGGCAAATTCAACGATTACATGCCAGAGAATCAGACACGAACCGAAGGAAACGACGATCAAGGATTTTGGGGGCTCGCAGTCATGTCTGCCGCCGAGTATGGGTTCCCCAACCCCCCGGACGACAAGCCACAATGGCTTGCACTGGCACAGGCCGTATTTAACACCCAGGCCGCGCGGTGGGATCCTGACCATTGTGCAGGAGGTCTTCGATGGCAGATCTTTCAGTGGAATAACGGCTACGACTACAAGAACACCATTTCCCAAGCTTGCTTCTTCGCCCTTGCCGGACGCCTGGCTGTGTACACCGGCAACTCGTCGTACTCCGACTGGGCAGAGAAGACCTGGGATTGGATGGTTAACGTCAAGTTCATTTCCGACGACTACTATGTCTTCGACGGCGGTCACATTCAGTACAACTGCACCAACATCGTACCATATCAATGGACCTACAATGCTGGCGGCATGATCCTCGGCGCTGCTGCCATGTACAATCACACTGGCAGCGAGGTGTGGAAGAACCGACTCGACGGGCTGGTCAAGGGCGCAGATGTTTTCTTTGTTGGCGAGGAGAAGAACATCATGCAAGAGGTAGCATGCGAGACGGTTGAACTCTGCAACCTCGACCAGCAGTCCTTCAAGGCATACCTCAGCCGCTGGCTGGCGGCCATCACTAAATGGGCCCCGCACTTGACTGATGGCATCATGTCCAAGATCCGCGCTTCATCTATCGCGGCTGCATCGCAGTGCAAAGGCGGTACGAACGGACGCATGTGTGGGTTGAAGTGGACCGAAAACGGGACTTGGGACGGAATGCAGGGTGTCGGACAACAGATGGCCGCGCTTGAAATCACGCTTGGCAACCTCATCGAAACTTCTCATGCACCTCATACTGCAGACGTTGGCGGCACCTCTCAGGGCGATCCTGGAGCCGGAGGTAATGACATCGGTCGGACGATCCCCGCGGTCTCGACCTTGCCACCATTAGGCGGCGGCGATACGGCAGGTGCAGCAATCCTGACGATGGTTGTGCTTGGTCTTCTGATTGTGGGTGTCATTTTCATGATGCTGGATGAGACGTCCAAAAAGCCCATGAAGGAGCGGTTCTTCGATTTCCGTTCCGCGCTTCTTGGTGGCGGTGGCCTCGCTGCACTAAGCACCAGGCGAAAGAATGAAGAGATGAATGAGAAGGGCAAGGGAATCGATAATGATGCATCGAGCGACGGTGACAGTTCGCGTGAAAACGGAATACTGTCTCCCTTACCAACGAAAGGATACACAATGAGCAGCCACCAAGGCCTGCCACAACGAGGAAGTGTGCTCTCTCATATGAGCGGGACAACGGCAGTCACGGATCCGCCTCCAGGAATTCCCATGGTCCGAGAGAAGAGGCTGAGCAGGAAGAGCCGGAACCCAGCACTGCGCAACAGCATTGCGTCACAACGATCGGCTCGAATTGAGTAGACCCCGTCTCGTTTCACGGTCTGGGATCGGAGCAAATTGCATTCAACATCAAAGGCGTTAAATGGCGGGGAGAAACGGACTTCTGGAACATACTTGGATTTTACATATGCATTGGGTTGGCATCATCTGGCATTCATTGGAGAATAAAACCGAATAGTCATGGCCAGCTATTACGACACAGCAAGCTCTAGAAAATTGAGAGCTGGGAAACAGCCACGACGTTATGACGACCTGTACATAGATAGATGATGCCGATTGTAATTGAAGCCGCTATTGGCTACTCTCTCAACGAGAAACTCGAGTGAATAAATCTGTTAATCGGTGGCATAGCACGACGGACTGGAATCAAATGCATTCATTATTTCCCGGCTGACGGGGCCGGTACGGCGCCGCATCCAGCTCCGTCCGCCGAGTTGACGGGCGATTCTCGCGGCGAATCCTGTGGCGGAGCTCTCCACATAAGCTTGGCATCAAGGCGACATGCGCAGAGCTCCAGATGAGAATGAGTGAGGACAGAAGATAGAGTTTCCAAGCCTTCCGGCAGTTAATTTAAACCAAGGAAACGCCAGAACTTAGAAAAGGGGAATGCTTTTTGAACGAGGAAGTAAGATTTGAAGATACTACGCAGTCGGATGTGTTTCCTTGCGATCCTCGCATTTGACCTTCCGGCGAGCTTGTCACTTTGATGTCTGACAGCTCAACTTTGAACTCGCTTATTGGTAAGACTTACCCCCTTGTCAATGGTGAAACTTGCCATGGATGTGCAACTATTAAATATCCGTCCATACACTCGCACGCGGTTTTATATCTCCCCCGCTCCTAGAACATGGGAGCTCAGCCAATGGAGGGCTGGGTGTTTCCTGTTCACATGCCCGAACACGAGGGGGGGTAATGGGGCAAGGAAGGAGGGATGTGGGGTGGTGGTGGTGTTGTGTGTCTCGAGGACGTGGTTGTGTAACCATGCCAGATGACGATGGCGGCACAATTACGGTCTCTTTTTTGAGAGGTAATAGGCTATACTGAGGCATTTCTCATCCTTTAGAGGTGGTCTCTAAAGTCTTTCTCAGCGCTACTGAAGAGGAAGGAGCGAATTGGTGATCAGCCCTGTGCGGCCATTTTGTTTCGTCAGAAGTCACCAGAAGGTGAAGTTCGTCGCTCTCTCCGATGCTGTTTTTGCGGGGGGATTAACATGATTGTTACTTCAGTAGGCTATCTGTAATGGGCTTCAGAGGCGGTGGGATTGGAGGGGTCAAGAGCT